AATATTAATATGTTTTCCTTTATTTTGGTAAGCTGCAAAGATGCAGAAATCTTAATGGATGCAAAAGCATGAAAAGGAAGCCATTGTTCAACCGAGTGTAGCTTTCATTCATTCTGTAACCCTGTAATAAATGCAAGATGTTGAAAGGAAAGGAGCCAAATATTAGTGTGGTCCTGAGAGACCAAGCAAATAATGGAGCTACTTAAATTTGTCATTCTTCTTTCATGATTACAGTCAAAATCTAAAATGTACACAGATGTTATTTCTGTATAGATTCTGTACAGATAGTTTTGGGTTTTGAGCATTGTTAAATCTTTTTGTCATGTTTATAATACAACGGTTTCCTTTTTTTCTTTTTTTTCAAGAGTTTTTAGATTTTTTAAATGGAATTCCAGCAGGCAGTCAGTTGCTGCAGAGGAATCACTGATTCCTTGGAGACCAGGGTGGTCTTACCTGCTGGGTTCTGTGGGCAAGGTGCCAGCTTGGAGTGGCACCCAGAAGTCTGGTGGCAGTGGCAGTAAGTAACTTCTCTTTCATGTCAGGGTTTGCAGTGAGTGACTCTGGTTTTTGAAGACAAGGGGGTTCAGGCTTTAATATCTGAGCCTCAGCTACTTTGGGGCAGACATAATCCTCTGTGAGCAGAGGTATGGACTGTTCAGGTTGTCTTTGTTTTGGTGAAATTGTTTCCATGCTAATATTCCTGTGTTGGATCTCTGGAAAGAAAAGAATGTAGGTCTGGGCTGAATCATAACCCAGCACGCTGGAGGTTGCTCAACCTTGCCTAATGCTCTCCACCTGAACCCCACAGCTGCTCACAGAATAAGGATCTCAGTAGCTTGTGAAGGTCTTGCAGGAGTGAGGAAAGCAAATGAACCTGCTCTAAGCATGGCTATTTTGTGTCAGTTCGGATTTTCTTGGAAAACTCCTATCCATGTGTGTTCCCTGAGAGCACATCTGCTGCCTTCCATGTACTGTAAGAAATCCAGGGCTCATGAGATGAAGGCAGCCCTGAATGCAGTCTCTGACACCAGCCCTGTGCACTTCACTGAGTCCTCTGCTCACGTCTTTCCTTGAGCTTGGGTTGCATTTGTCTCAGACAAAATAAACACACCCAGAAAGATTTCTGTGGCAGAAAGAGTGGAAAATTCATGTGTGGTTCTTGTCTGGAGGATAAGGCTGCAGGGGAAGAGGTAGTGGCCTGGACACAAACTCGGTGAGTTTTTGCACTTGTTCAGACTAAAATAGAGGTGGCAGCAGTGAAAAAACTCAAGCAGCTATTCCTGCTGAAGGGAGGTCATGCAAGTTGGTGAATGCAGTGTTTATGTGACATGAGAAACTTAATATCTACCTGGTTTTCCCCAAATAGACCCCCAGGTGGTGGGAAAAGAGAGGAGATGCTTGGGAAATGCTGCTACACCAGCACTGAGCAGATTGACACATTCCTCCTACATCTCTTTCTCCCTGTAGCATTATTCTTTAGCAGAAGCGCTCCCATTCTTGCTGCATTTTGTGACACACAGTGGATTTAAATCAGGATCAAATCCCACTGAAGAAGTCAGGACGTTACAGTGCAAAAGCTGGTGGGGGATAAGTCAGGACCTTTGTGATTCTCAGTGCATGAGGAATTTGAGGTGTAGCTGCTGGCTGACGGGAAGGGAGATGTCCTCTGAGTCAGGGTGGAGGTATTTCTGTCAGAAGGGAGCTCTTGCTGCAAACCATGCTCAGGATGAATAGGCAAGACTGCTGTACATGCAAAGCAATGTTTTTCCACCTGTGTGTGTGTGTGAGGCTGAGCACAATGCAGTTTTAGTGCGTGGGAGGGCTGGGGAGCAGGCTGGAGGCACAGCACGTCGATGCTTTAGCTGCAGGAGCAGCACACCCAGCGTGGCATCTTGTCAAACTGGGCTGTCCTCAGCAGCTCATCCCATAACCCAGCAGGTCAGGTGGAAGTTTCCAGAGGTGAGCTGGGTTTGATCAGCTGTGTTGGAGTGTCCAGACACATCAGTGCTGGGGTCAAGTGTTTGGTGAGCACATGATGAAATGCTGGAACAAAATTCTTCACTTGGAAGGTGATGCTGCCTGATTTTCATTAAGCAGTCCCCAGAGTGGGTGTTCAGAATTCAAAACTAACTGTTGTTTCACTTTTCCTGTAGTGTTAAATCAAAAAGGGACTTCCCAGGAGCATGAGAACAAAGCTTGCTCTCCAGTTTCCTATTTGTTTTCACTAGTGGAAGACAAAAAACCTCTAAATTTGATGTCTTCATCAAATGCTGGATTATTTCAGCTAAGGCTTATTTCTCTTCAGGATCTATATATTTGCAGTATATGCCATGCTGCTGGTAGGGTTGTGTTGAAGCCAAAGGCAGTGAAAGATGATCAAATAATTCTCCCAGTGTAACTCTAGGTTTAGAATTCAGCTTTTTGTGAGTTCATAACTGTCTGAAGTTTGCTGTATTTGACAGTACAGATGAGAAGCTGGTCTTGCAAATAGTGGTAAACTTCCCTTGGGGTTTGGAAACTTTGTACAAAGTACCACACAAAGCACAAAATTAAATGCTCATAATTAATCACTTCAGCGGCTGCTGCTCTGTACAGCCACAACTCAAGCTGTCCATTGTTGCCACATCATTTGACTGCTTGAAGCCCCTTTATTTCTGATTTAAAGGTCTAAGAACAGTAATTTGATTGTCTCAAACATCTCCTAATGCCTTAACAATGAAAAAGGACCTGCATATTTTCCTTCTGAAATGTGATTGTCTGCAGGCACGAGTCACACTTTGTGTCTGCCCAGTGGTTATAAGGGAGCACATGATGCCTTGCAGGGCTTTGCAGCACATCTGTAATCACCAGCAGTGTTTTTGTGCCATGTGAGGGTGTGAGGGCTATTTCTGCAGGAGGAATGAAGCTATTTGCCATCAGAATTTTTCCCTTATGCAGTGAAAAATAAATGTCAGTATTACATATCGTAATTTCATACTTGTCTCAGAATAATTATTTAACAGAATGCAGAATTTTCACAGTTAAGAGGTTTGAAAATTAAATGCTACGTGGTTTCTGGCCTGCAACCTAGTACCCCAGGAATTTGATGAAATGTGTTTTTTTGGGATGTATGCTGTCAGTAGATGTTTTGCTCATATGTTTCACTGGGGCTTTTATTTTCTCAGGAAAATAGTGACACTAGCACATCCATAAATGAATTTCATTCAGTTTTCAGGTAAGGAGAGCAATGCCTGCAGTTGTGTCTTTATGGATAAGGAAGGTAAAGGAAGAGTGTAAGATTGATGGCATTGTAGACAATAGTCCTTGCTCCCATAATTTAATGATAAGCTGAATATCTGTAAGGGACCATGCATAGGGAGGAAACTTAAACACCTGATTTTATGTTTTGTAATATTTCTATTGAATTTTTAGTATGATAAAAATGATGTTTTGGTTTTGTTTAGAAATAAACACAGGTGTTGTGGCAAACAAAAACCCCTTTTAATAGCATGCAGCAGCAGCACACAACAAGCTGCACTACAGTTTAAGTTTTGTCAGGATTTCTATCCTGGATCCAGTTTTCAGAATTATTGTCAGCTCTGCAAGTCTTCTTCATTCTGAAACTTGTCAAGGTGTTTCTCTGCCAAGAACTTACTGTTGTCTTTTTCAGCTCAAGCGTATCTGGTTCCTTAATTTCTAGGATTTTATTAGTTGCTGTATTGCCAGTGCGAGTGCTGAAGTGATTTTTCTGCAGGTTGTGTGTGCAAAATACCGATGGTTAATGTCCAGTGAGATGTGTTATCTGTTTAGTTAAAGCCCACTTTGTGGTGAAAGGGATTGTAATGCTTATCATTTCAGGCAGGTCAGCTGCCCAGGGAGCTGTCCTGGGGAAGGCACGGCATGGGTTTTGCTGCAGAATTCTGCCAGTCATGCTAATCTGGAGCTGTGTATTGTATCTGCTCCTTTGTGGGGCTGATCTCCAGGCTGTGCTGCCGAGCAGGGAATCACACAGCCGTGTTCCCATGAATGGAGGGGAGGATTAGACCAAAACCCCATTATCTGGCCAGGCCTCGGGAGGTACGGAGTGACAGATCTCCTGCCTCGACTGGAACTGCTTGCCACCCAGAGGAGCGCAAGGATCATTTATGTCAGAGGCTTTTTGTTGGAGAGCTTCCAAAGAAAGCAGTGGGAATGGTGTGGATTACTGTCTTCTGTGTCATTAAAAATAATCTGGAAAACTGATCCCTTCCTTGCCCCATCCATGAATTGTAGCACCCCAATGAGTGGTTTGGGTGTATAACACTTGCCATGAGCCATTTGGAATGTGTTAGCTGTGGAACTCCTTAAATACTATTTTTAATTAGGCCACTCAAATGGTGTAGTTAAAGGAGATAATGTTTTCCTCATTTATTTCACTTTGGTTTTGGGTCATAGTGGACATAATGTCAGGTCCTCCCCAGCCACTGACTGGTGTCCAGACATGGCAGATGTTAACGGGGAGAGGATTTATTCACACGGCATCTTTTCCTTCATCTTGGAGTTGTACTTTGCAGGAAGTGTCTCTCAGCCACCTACTCAAGCACTGTGAAACAAAACCTTCAGCTTCTGTTTGTATTCAGTTGCCTCACAGTTGAGCTGAGGGATGCTTTGGAAGTGTACCCAGCTGAACTGCCCAAATGCAGAGTTCTAAAAACCATCTTACGCAGCCCTGGACTGTGCTCCGGCCCTTGCCTGGAACCTGTGCGGGTCCTTGGTGGCTCAAGGTCTGGATAGTGTGAACAAAGTCACCTTTTTAAAGAAAAAACAGTTGTGTTACGTGTTGCCTTTGTTATGCACAGGCAATATTTTGGGTCCCTTTAATCACAATTACTGCTGAAAGCTGTAATGCTGTTATTGCATTCATATTGCAGATTCCATGTAACCATTGATGTTCCTGTTCAGGACAGTGTTAGTCCTGTGACTGAGATTTCAGGTGCCTGCCATTAACCTCAAGTTCTTTCTCTCCCCTGCCCCCTTTTTAGAGGCGTTTGAGTCTTTGCTTCGCTTTGCTGAAAACCGCACGAGTTCCCTGTTTGAGACAGCTTACAGACCTATGGCAAAAGAAGCAGCAGAGCCTGTTAAGGAGCTTTTTACAGACATCTCTCTCTACATTCTGGGCGCAGAGACCACAGTGGAAAGTGCAGTACTGCGGTTCTTTGACAGTCTCTTTCCTCTGGTGTACAGCCGGCTAATAAACCCAGGAATTACAGATCTGTCAGAGGACTATACGGAGTGTCTGCGGCTTACAAGGCAAGACATAAATCCTTTTGGACACTATTCTAAAAACATGGTTACAGAGCTGTCAAAATCTCTTTGGGCCAGCAGGATGCTGAGCCAGGCCCTGAGCCTGGGCATTGAAGTGATAAATACTACTGAGCACGCCGCTGTGAGCAAGGAGTGCAGCAGAGCCCTGGTGAAGATGCAGTACTGCCCGCACTGCCAGGGCCTGACGCTCATCAGGCCCTGTGTGGGATATTGTCTCAATGTCATGAGGGGCTGCCTGGCCAGCGTGGCAGAGCTGGATGCACAGTGGAGGGAGTTCATCTCCACGCTGGAATATCTGACTAATGAAATGGCAGCCTCCCACGAGCTGGAGATTGCTCTGTCGGGGATCTGGAGCTCCGTCAACGAGGCCATCCTGCACGCGCAGCTGAACGGGCCGCAGCTCTCTGCTACGGTAAGTGTCTCAAATTATTTGCTACTCCCATCCAGCAATTTCCTCCTTCGGTGGATAAACATTTAAACAAGTTGGTGTTGTCTTTGCAGCAGTTTTTAGTCTTTAACTAGATCTTCAATAATCCATGTTTAATAATCCATGCAGACTTTACAGACAATTATGATGGGGTTCAGTGGAGTCTGCTTTGAAATTAAAGAGATGGGGGGATTTGTTTCTTTAGAAGGAGCCTGGTAAAGCAGAGGGCTCTGCCTTGTCTGCACAGTTCTCTACACAAAAATTTGGGGTCTGTGATACCAGGTATCTATGAAGTGTTATCGTGGCATGTCATGGGAACATGTGGGGGCATCCCGCAGGATTTGTTATAAGGGGCTAGAAAAGTGAGCTTTTAAATAAAGGCAAAAGAATTAACTTTCACACTTTTACAGTCCCTTTACTTTTGTGTTGACCCAGACGTCAGGAAGGTAGTGCAGGTTTGTAATAAGTACACCTATCATACAGAAGTTGTGAAAAAATCCAAACTTATTTGGCAGCATTTACATAAGTAAAGGATAAAAATACGCTTGAAGTGGAAACAGCTTTGTGAGTGGTGTAGATTAAGGGGAAAGAACTAGGATGGTAGAACTGTCACATAAATTATAGCAGCATATGACTGGCAGGTGTTCTCTCAAGGTGTTGAAGATTAGGCTAGAAATTACTGAAATGATTAATGATGCAGCTGACTACATCTGTATGAAGTTAATACAACTGTCAGTGGAAAAAAATGTAGCAGTGTGGCCTTAAGTAGGGTATAGAGACTAATATGAAAAAATGCAGATAGATCGGCCTGTCTTGAAAGTAAAGGAATTCTTGGAGAAAACAGAGATGGAAATGCACAAATTTAGATATGTAATTTCTGTCTTTCTAAAAAAATCAAGGTTTTTTATAGGAGAAAAATGCTACTGCGTTTGCAGCCTTCCAAAATCCCTGATACTGCAGCTCCCTTCACTGTAGAACACCTGACAGAGCCATGATTGGTCAGTGTCATACATAAATTATAAAAAAAACCCCAACCACTTTTTGTAATCTAATAGAATTTCACTTGATATTTTAGCTAAAACTCAGTTCCTATTGCCACAATTTTCCTGTCTTTCTCATGAATGGCAGACTTGCTAGTTCATCTGACATCCAAAGAGAAACATGGAAAACCTCTGAGAAGTTTTTTCAGGTTCTGGAGTAGTGGACAGTGGGCTCTGGAGCCTGCATGTGCTGCAGCTCTGCGTTGTGCTAAAGTCTAGTTGGTGGTGTCACAATGTGCCCCCTGCAGGAGTGTTAAACTTAGAACATGCCATGAACAATGCTCCTGCATCTGCCCCTGTTTTCTCCCAAAAGTTGTTTTTATATGAGTTTTTTATAAAAGGGAACCAGAAATCACAGCACACTATTACTATTATAATATTATATTAATTATAATTATTAATTATATTATTATACTATTGTATATTGGTTTTATCTGACTATAGATGGATACCTCTAAAATCATTATAGAGCTTCATTGTTGATTACATGGACAGAATGCTAAAACATAACTCTGCATTGCCTTTATCAGCCTTATAATTACCATGCACTTGCTTAGCTTACTGAGGGGTAAAATTCATGATCCAGGTGAATATTGGATAATTATGGATGAACTCAGTGAGTGTATTGCTTTTAGGTGATTTGGAAGTAGAATTCTCTCTAAAGTGTCCTTCAGGCTCAGAATTCTCTTTAAATATTATTCAAATAATTTTATTTGGGGCCTTCTTAATTCTCTAGCAATACCTTTAAACATTTGCCTCCTTCCATTTGGAGTAAGTTCAGAAAATGCTGTTGTGTTTGAAATTCCATTAATTCTTTTTTCCCTGAAGTTATCTTTGCTTTCTGTGACTGGCAGAATCTCCATGTGCAGAAGAAGGTTGTGTGTTCTAGGGGCTGCTCAGTAGGACGGTGAAGGAGGTTTGAAAATAAAAACTCTGCCTCAGTGTGTATTACCTTCAGTCCTTTCAGTTGTCTGCAGAGTAAGATGATATTTGGGAGACAGAACGTTTTTCACTATTTAAACAAGCATTCATCTGATACTGGTTTAAATCTTTCCTGATTAGTTACAGAGGATAACTATTATTTAGAAAATTGAGCCTAATTAAGCTGTATTTTCTTCTCTGAAGAAGCGGAAAGGAGTTCAATGCTCAGGTTCAGGATTTCCTGCTGGAGATGGCTTCTGGGAATCCAGGCTGTGATTCCCAATTACACTGGGGCCATTTGATTTGTACCCAAGGTATTTACTGTTGGTTTTTCTTACGGGATTCTTTATTTTCCCAAGAAAAGATACCTTCTCTTTTCCTTTCCTAAGTGTTTGGAGACCCTTTTTTGCTCGTGCAGTGCACTCTCCAGCTTCTGCAGAAGTGGAAATGTTCAGCTTAGGTACAGTTTCCATTACATATGCAGTAATTGGTTTCATTTGATTATAATGGAAAACTCATCCAGGAAAGCAGAACACTCCTAGTAATCTTCATTTATCCTGAGGCAGCCTTAATTAATGCGCCTGCCCTTTTAGGAAACATTTTACATTTTTAATAGACAATATGGCTAAAAATTAGGGTTCTTTTTTTCTCTTGTTGCCTGCCTGGATGATAATGAATAATGGAAGGTTAGATTATGTTTTCTTTAAAATGGGGAAGGGGTGAAATAAACCAATAAAGCACTTAGGATACTTGGCTCAAATGAGGTGCAGTCAATTGATATTAAATCTAAAACTAAAAATCCTATTTGTATGAGGCGTGCATAACTTCAGGAGAGTGGCCTCTGCTGATCTTGTCCATTACAGCCAAGAGAATTGCCTGATTTGCTGGGATAGCAAGTGTGAAAGGTCACCTTTAAGATATTGGTAATGTCTCCTCAGATTCCTGGGGAATGTGCCATGCCATTTGTTCAATGATGCTGGCTTGCATCCAGCTTACTTAACCTAATGCAGGCCAGCCCCCGTTTGCAGCACCAGCAATCATCATCATTGCTTTCATCTGCTCAATCTAATTGTCCTTCCTCCTGCTAGGAGCCCTTCCTTATCATTTCCCTCTTGCTTTATTTCTTTTTCTGTCTTTGTGTTTTAAAGCTGGCCTCCTTTTTCGTGTGTTCAGTTACTGGGTTGCTGTACAAACTCTGTACTTATGCATCGTTCCTGATGTCAATTTTATTTTGTATTCAAAGTGAAAGTAAACAGCTCTCAAGTAAAATAGAGGAGCAGGAGGAGAGTTGTGAAATGTGAGTGGTTGCTGGCACTTCAGGCAGGTGGATCAGCAGGTGAGGTAACATCTCCCTATGTGGACCTCGTGGTTGGGTTCTTTCTCCCCTTAAACTGAAATTGATGAGAGGGAGGCTGTTTTTTCTCTCTTGTTCAGACTTGGTTGTTTATTCTTCTCTTATCTGCATTACATGGATTCAGGGTACGAGGAGCTGTGTGCACTAAGATAGAAAGGCACAAAATGGCTAACAAGCATTTTCTTCAAGGTCTTTCATATGGCCATTTACCCAATTAACTGATGCTAACTAAATTATTTTTCTTAGTGACCCAATGACCCAACACCTGTGAACTGCACTGTAGCATCTTCTATCCAATCACTCATTATTACCCAAAAACCTCTAGAAGAACATGAAGAAGAAGGACAAGAGACAGCTCCCTAAATCCTCCATCTGTTCTCTAAAGTACTTTAAACTCCAAACTTTAACTTTTTCACCCAGTGACATAAGAAACTTTCTAATTTACACATTTACACTCCTAGTTTTTCTATTTAACCTTAAGAGTTGTTTTCAGGATGTTATATGAAATTCAGTGTTTTCTTGGATGTCAGAGCCAGGTATCAGAGATAAGGGCACACTCTCTGTGCCTCTGACTCCAACAGTAACAAACACTGCCCACACTCCTGGAGCCAAATCCCAGTGAGGTGTTCCCATCACTCGTGCAGGGCCAGTAGGGATTTACAGCCCTGCTCCAGCAGGTCGTGTTTGGGGATGGGGGTTGGAAACAGGGTAAGAGGTGAGGAAGATTTCTGTTGGATCAGAAATGACTGGAATCTGATCAGTCCCACCAAGTCCAGGTCTGAGTGCTTCCCTTGGGGCCTTCAGTGAGGTTTGGCCGTCCTGCCCCAGCGGCACTGCTGCTTCTGCCAGCGCCCATCATCTGTGGGATGGGTTTCCTGCTGGACCACTGGGCACTCGTGGGGTGCTGCCCTGCTCAGGCACAGATTTCCTTTAGCTTTGCCAGTCCATGGTTCCAGAGATTGCCCTCGCCTGTCTCTGCAGCAGAATCCCTGCCTGCCCTCGTGGTGGGAAATGCAAAGGGATGTGTGTTAGCAGAATATTTGCAATGTGGGAAGGCAGGTGTTTCTCTCTGTTCTTGCTGCAAGGAGTTTATGAGCATAAAGTATTTATCTTGTTGCTAATGTTTCAGTGGCTGAAAAAGCATTAAATGAGGAGAATGTAAAACGCCACAGACCTGATATTTTCAGAATGGATAATTGTTAGGCAAGAGCAAAGTCCAACATATTGTGTTTTGTGATTTTAGGAGTAATGAAAGCAAAAGCTAATAAAAGGCTTGATAGGGATTATAAAACCAAGATATGATCAGAGATTAAGCATTAGGAGAAAGCAGAAAGCCTCAAGGCAAGTTAATTTCTTGGAGACAAGCTCACCAATTAATGTGATAACTGATATAAAAAGCGATAGAAGAATAAACTTTAGGAAGAAGAGCGCAGATAGAGGCAGGAAAAATACAGAAAGGGAGGCATGTTTAAGGTGCAAGATGCATGGAATTGCAGGAGTGTCAAGAGGCACAGAAATAATGTTTGTGATCAAAATTGGATCAAAATCAATGACAACCTTTCTACAAATCGTGAAGACATCAAGGAGAAAGATGGATAATACTGAGAAAAGATCCTCTAAATGCCATCTGTATTTTAGAGTCTGGTTTCAGGTTGTAATGAAGGAGACTC